GACCTGGTGGCTTGCTTTCTCACTTTCCCTCTCTGTCTCGCTGTCGCTCTGTCCCTCTCTGGTCAAATTAAAAATAAAATAAATCAATATAATAATAATTTTTTTAAAGAAAGAAACTTTTATAAAATTTATTCATGTATTTCTTGCATGAGAAAGACAGAGAGAGAACACCTTCAAAGGGGCTTTTTAAAGAATTATTTATTTTATTTATTATAATTTTAATTTGCCTTAGGGCATGTGTGCTCACCAGAGAGAGAGAGAGAGAGAGAGCAACCTGCCAGGTCCGGCACCTTAACCAGCACGTCATCTCATCTGCAGGCCCTCCAACAGGGTGGCAGTGCTCCACGCGCCCGCAGCCTGCAGCCCGCCCAGGTCACGGTACACGCTCTCTCCAGGGTGCTTAGAGAGGTCCAGGTGTGAGCCCTGTGAGCCCGGGACCTTCCCATGTGGGTCAGTGAGGAGCATCGCATTTTGCCACTCTGCCCCCAGTGGGCCCTCAGGTTTTCTTTTTTAAATTTCTTACTTTTTATTTGTCATTGTAATTATTTATAATTTGCTACAGGGCACAGGTGCTCACTAAAGAGAGAGAGAGAGGAAAAGTGAGAAAGCAAGCCACCAGGTCTGGTATTTGAACCTCAGTCAGCCATGTAGGAGTCCAGCACCTTAACCACCATGCTAACTGCTGCCCTCCCTGCACCTCCCCCCACCAGTTTCTTCTAAAGTAAACAGCCACCAGTGAATTTCTATTTTTAAAAATTATTTATTTACTTAATTCCATTTGGTATTATTATTTATTTATTTGGAAAGGTTTTTTGCTATAGGGTGCATGAGCTCCCCAGAAAGAGAGAGAGAGAGACAGAAACAGAAGGTGAGAAATCACCTCCCGGGTAGGGGGGGATGGCCACACCACAATCCCTTCTCTTCCATTCTCCTCTCGGATCTTGGGCACGCATGAACACATGCCTGGCGTGAGTTTAAGCCACCAGGTCCAGGACTTGAACTGCGGTCGACTACATGGGAGTTCAGCGACATAGCCCATTACGCCAACTGCTGGTCCCTATTACTATTATTTTAAATTTGACCAGAGAGAGAAAGGGAAAACGAGAAAGCAAGCCTCCGGGTCCAGGCCTCGAACGGCGCTCAGCCACGTGAAAATGCAGCGCCTTTAACCACCATGCCACCCGCTAGCTATACTATCAGGGAAGTTCTTCAAAAGTAAACAATTCAGTTTACCTATTTCTTAGTCTGGAGATTTACTCTGTTTATTGATTTATTTTTGCTATGGAGCACATGTGTTCAGGAGACAGAGAAAGTGAAAAAGCATCCTGCTGCAGTCCCTCCTCCATTCTCTTCGGGGGTTTGGGGCATGCACCAGTGCCCCACGGGTTTCAAGCCCCTAGCCCAGGACTCCAACCACACAGTCAGCCATGGAGGATCCACCAACAATAGCCACCAGCTGGCCCCTGGATATTTATTTTTTTTTTTTTTTTGAGATGTGCTCACCAGAAAGACAGAGACAGAAAGCGAGAAATCACCCCACGGGGGGGATGGCCACACCGCAATCCCTTCTCCTCCATTCTCCTCTTGGGATTTTGGGCAGGGCACTCACACATTCGCCCAGCATGAGTTTAAGCCACCAGGTCCGGGAAGCGAACCGTGGTCAACTACATGGGAGTCCAGCGACATAGCCATTACGCTAACTGCTGGCCCCAAGCCACTCTTGATTTGACACCCAGCATCCGCGCCCCCCGCCCTCATCCTCTTACCTCGTCTTACGTATTTTACTGACATACTGCGTATCCCACGCCCCTCGCCTCTGAGCGTAAACTCGGGAGGTATTTTGCAACCGTCCCTCTCCGCTGTACCACCAGCGGCTCCAACGGCCCGGCCCGAGTCAGGAGCTCCTAATACAGTTCGCAGACAGGCCGCCAGGGGGCGAGAGAGCCACCGGCCAGGCGAGGAGAGGAGCGTTACCT